AATGTTTAGAGAGAGAAAGCTATGCAAGAGTATTAATTGCTTGAGGTTTGTATGAATAAATGTAGAGAGAGGAGATTGAAGGTTTTTATACCTTACTCAATAGATAAATGGGTTTTGAGGTCAAATGGGCTTTCCATGTTGACTGGGCCTTTGACTGACTTGGTATTTGTTTGGAGAGTTGAACCTTGCTTTGGGCTCTTTGATTGAGCCATTTATAGACCGACCCAATTAAAGTAATATATATATATATATATATATATATATATATATATATATATATATATATGAAACCATTACATTTGTTGATTTAAGCATAGACAAACATACAAATCAAACATATTAAGTATGAATAAAGTGAGTATATCTGTTCGTTTGAAATCAAATTTGTCAAATGGAGATGGTGCAGAATTCACATTGGTCACTAATTTGAGTCCCATCATCTATGTTTGCTCGAAAATAGGAGTATATAAATAATATAATATATACCAATTAATTTAAAACTCACTTTAAGGTCTTTAACAATATATCCAATTGTGTATATATATCATGTGAGATGCAATTTTTGAATATCCAATATATGTTGATAAATTTAGAGTATATAGTGTGAGGATTGTTGGTTTAAAGAAGAGAGAGATGTCAAGCAATGTATGTGTGGAAATATAAGCTCCACAAGTCAAGGAAATAGAGTAAAGAATGGATCGCGGGGCGCGGTCATGGTCGCGGCAAGCGACTGCAGGAATTTTCAAAGCAGAAAGTGAAACTCAACCGAGTTCCTTTGGGAATCGACCGAGTTTTGTTCACTAACTTTGGTTATAAGGGGACTCGACCGAGTCCTTCTGAGACTCGACCAAGCTTTGTGGCGGTTATGGTCTATTCTTGACGGTTTTGCTTGGTTTTATTCATTATAACTGCTATTATAAGTCTAAAAAAAAAAAAGGTTTGAAAAGATATATAATGATATGTAACATATAAGATAGAACACACATTACAACAGATTCTCTCTCTCTCTTACCATGCCAAAAGGAAGAGAAGTTATTTCTTTCTCCAGAAAAGTGATCATCAAAATCTCTACTAATGCTAGTGATTCATTGGGTGTGTATGGTTGAAAGCACTATAACACACTGTTTCTTCGTTGTATCTCAGTACCGAATTTCGTGTTAACCCGGGCTTTCTGTAGGGGCGAAATACTGCTACTAGGAAAGTGAGATCACCCCTCGAAGGTTTATCTTATGTTTCATCTTTGATTTCCCTTGTAAAGTCCATTTTTTCCAACAATATATGCCACATTCTCACATATAGTAGTTGTCGTAGTCCGTAAGCTGACTCTATTAAATGGATCCAAAAAAACCTCACACTGTCATGTTGGATTATTGCATACATAATTTGGCCACGTCACACATGCATGGGGAATAATAAAATATAAAGAGAATGAAGTGGGAAGTTTTTTACGCATGAAAAGTGTGAAAGGAATTGACAATGATTTTGACAAATTAAAGGAAAAAAGAGAAAATCGCACTTGTTTTCCAACTCAAAAGAAGGCCAAAGTGCCTTGCCCTCCCAATACCATACTGCCATATAATTTCTCCCTTATTCCATATGTTTGCTCTTTTAAAATTTTATTATCCTTTTGGAGACCATTTTTTCTTTGCCTAGAAAGAGGATGAGATGGGATGAAAATATTGAAAGGGTTGGCAAAAAACACGATTATACGAGAAACACACTAATAGGCCAAAGGTCGTGCATGGACATCATTTCAGAATTTGACACCAGTGGTGCGTCACAAGCAAACAATAGGTCACTCAACATATTATAATTTAAATCAATTTAATTAGAAAATAATAGTATAATTATTAAGGGAGCTCATGTCCATTGGCATGCATAGCGACACACACACTTAAGCTAAGCTGAATTGTGCATGAGTTTCCTCTATGAAAGATTGACACATAAGCAAAATTCTAGCATATGACACGATTTTTCATTGGTTCATTCCAAACATGGCCCACTGGCAAAGCACAGTACATGGGCTAGTACGACTTGACGTATATCAACCTCTACATATGAAAACCATCAGAGTATAGAAGTATAGAACTCCTTAATACTCTTCATATTAAAATTAAAACAGTATAAATATTACTTCGTATTACCATACATAAAAGTATTGAGTGTATGCTCCTTCAGCTCTTGCATTGTTATCAATTAACTTGCTGGCTTGCATTAAAAAAAAAATTCCAAAAAAAATTGAGTACTCGTATATGCTTTTGTTTAAGTTAACTTAGCTTATGTCATACTCCTTACAAATATTTCGATTTTTAAAGTAGCAAAATTCTACTGAAATACAGTACTACCAAAAATGATAATGGGTCTATTATTATCGTACAAGAGGATTGAATAATTGGGAGTAATCATGTACGGAATAGTATATAATGCTTGGATAATTATTGTCATTTGATAATTATTAAAAAGTTTCGGATAATTTTGGGTGAACACTGAGGAGCGATGATATGATAGGATTGGTTGTTTATATGTTTGAATAAGTTAATGTGATTATGTGAAGGAAAACAAAATTAGCTAGCTTGAGCTTTCTCTAATCACATCGTATATGCCTTGAGTATAGTAGACGTTTCTTGGCTTGTTTCAAATAACCTTTGTAAGTGGACCATGAGAGGATGAAGAAAAAGACAGGACTAAAAGTAGGTTCTAATCTTTTCATTCTCTCTTGATGATTAACGTGCATTCATTATTTGCCTATATAATATGTCATTTAATTTTTCTATATGAAATGGAAAGGTATACAAAATCCTGGACAATTATTTACTATACATATGTGATATGTCGATGAATTAGTTGTAATCCACACGCTCAGCTCGTATACATAATCAGTATTTGAAATAAAAGTATAGAATAGATAAAAATGAAACAACTATTATTTCGAAGCATAAGAGATATAAGAGTAAAATTAAAGAGGGTCTTTGATATGATTAAATGGTAGGAATATATAATAATGTTACAAGCTTTCAACTATTTCAATATATGCATAGTAGCACACATGCACTATGTTAATTTGATATTGTATATATCAATGAACAGACAATTTAATTAAGTTAACTATTGCTTGATATAAGAAGCATATTATTATAAGTGTTTTCCATCCATCATGGGACACACTGGTCTCCTTTTTTTAAATTCTTTTTGGCTCTCTGTCATGCACCATATATGGGTGTGAAGTAAGTTAATTAGTACTAGCATATTACAAAGATGATGAAATGATTTATGAAAGTGTATACGAAGTAAAGCATAGTTATTACTCGTATTAATGATAGTCTTGATAGATGTATATGAGAAATAATATAAATTTACTAAAGAAAGAGCACGACAGTATTTCTTTTGATAGCAATCCCCAATATATAGGGAGGTACTACTAATCATTTTGCAAAGTGCAATTACTTTTTAATAAAATTCGATAACATTAATTATAGTTTTATATGCGGAAGTAATTAAAAACTTATTTAATTACGGAGTATTATTTTTAAGATATATATTGGGAGATAATACACTTCATTGGAAATCAAGCTCAATGTCCATCAATATATAGCTACACGGTGCAAGAAGCTAAGCTAAGCTAGCAAACAAATATCACAAATTCTATTCCGATATGACATGACTCACATGAGTATTATTATTGTACGTGACCGGGTAGGCCTCTTGTTAACTTTTTACGTATAAAGGTCGTCAACCCATTTAATTTAATTTAATTTACAAGTTCTTATTTATGAGGAGAGGATCAGAGGAGATCGAGGTGAGTTGATGAGAAATTTCTTACATGCTTTGAAGATTCAACTTGCTACCTATAAATCACCAAGCGACTTCTCCAGCACTAGACCAAGTCACTTGTAAACTCCATCCGTTTCGTAATAATCGCAAGATTTTGACTTTTACACTATCTACATGCTTACTTTGACTATATTTTTTTTTTTTTACCAATATATAAAAATCATATGTTACTATGTAAACTATTTTTAGTTTAATCTTTAAGTATATTTTCATTACATTAACACAAATATTAATGGTCAAAGTGTTGCGATTATTATGAAACAGATGGAGTATATAAGAAGGATCCATATTTGGTGCAAAATCGTACACACTATGATTTCTTAATTATTTTAGATTAGGAGACAGACCCTGATCGGACATCAACCCACATTGTGATATCTTATGAAGTCAATAATACCGGTCAAATTAGCTTTAAAAGATGTACATATCTAAAACCTTAGATCGAATTAGTTTTCTAATTTATTTATTTTTTCTTTTTTTTCCTCACGAGGGAAAAACCCCAAAAGACGCCTGGATTGAAATAGATAGTGCTAGAATCTTATGCGCAAATGCTATTAAAATAAAATTGACCACAGTATAAGGTCTCTAACGCACCTTGATATTTAATAATTTTCCGACCTTGTCATGTTGGGGGTGGGTATTGTATTTTTCTAATTCAGCAATTTATTATGGTTAGGTAATAATAGAAAATATTGGGAAGTGGTTGGTTAGTGGTAAGATCTTGCTTTTTAATTCTTTTATTAAAGTATTATTTATTAATACAAGTATATTAACATTTAACAATAATATTGCTGATGTTGTTATAAACCATTTCTTTTTTTACACTTGATTATTTTAGTTCGAGAAAGAAATAGAAACGAAAAGACTTCCAAAAGAAAAATTATTGACTAATATTTTATAAAATTTGCTTGAAAATTTGATTCTCTGAAAAACAGTATTCCTTTTGGAGTGTATATTTTCGTTTAGACAACTTGATCTATTTTATAATTTGTCTCCTTGATTAAATTTATCACTTAGTTTCATGATATGCGCGGGATCTTTCTCCCGTGTGCTCCACGTTATTTGTAGGAAATTATGAGGGTTTCATTAATAAACATGTACTAGACAATAATTGCTCATTTCAATAATAGATTCCAAGTACATTTAAATAAATATTAACTACAATCTTTCTCTTTGATTAGCCAATAACCACAAAGTGGTATACATTCTTACCTTACAAGTATACTACTATACGACAACGATAGCAAAATGAGATTGAATTTTTACATAGTATAATTTCACTTTTATTTGAGCTTCAATCATACACTTTGTTACATACTCCGTGATTTCACTAATTTAAATTTAACTGTATTTTTTCCCCCAAAAAAATAGGTGAATTTAAGCTGAATAATATGACCTAAATAGCTAGAACAAATTGAAAATTGATACTATGGAGACGAGTTATATCATCATAAACAATTAATTCCTTAGAAAAATGTCCTTCGCAGAGAGTGAGGAATGGTTCAAGTGGTTAGAGCTCTCCTCCCGATTCCGGGCAATAATGGGATCGATTCATATCACTCGCCCTTGTAGCTCTCTAAACAACCAAAAAAAAAAAAATGTCCTTCGCATTCTAGAAGAATTGCTTCCGAAAAGGAATCATTTTCTTACAATTGATTGGACTAGCTACAAGTGCAAAAAATATTTAGATAGATTATTTACAAAACTAATTTATTTTCATGTATGGTAAGACTAAAATTACGTACATATGCGCTCTAAATAGTAAATAAACTCCTAGCTAATACGAGTAGATTTTTTTTTGCTAAAATAAAAAGAAAAATAAACCCTAAAATAAAACCCGTAATAATAAAAAAATTAAAAAAAAAAAATTAAAAAATCTATATGTTTTACATCTCACATACAATTTCTAAATATCACTCAACATTGTAATAAATGAAAGTTAGTTAAGAAAAAAAAATTGAAGGCACCTTTCCTTTGGCAGAGTATAATTGAGTCGCACGAAATTAACCATCATAGCTTCATCCCTTCATACACACGCCACAAAGTGATAGCTTAGCATAGCTTAGCTTCTAGCTCTCCCAAATTTGACCACTCAAATTGCCACAATTTTTGTCTATAATTGGATCAAAAGTGGTAAAATGTACGATTTTAATAATAATGCCAAAACTAATTTACCAAATTTTTATGCAGGGGATGATGAAAAGTCAATAATAAAATTAATTAGCCTAGATAATATTTTGCTAGTAATCCCATAAGAATAAATTTGTTGGCTGATGATCCTCAATGTGAGCTGGCGGCTCGTCGGCTTCAGGTAGCTGCCAGTGTAGCGAGTTCTCCAATTTAATAACATTTTCAAGGTCTAAGAAGAGATCGGGCAAGTTGAAAAATATTGTGTCGTCAAAGGTATGATCATAATTGGATGATGAAGCCGATGATGATGTGTCGTAGTTGGATGATGTTGACGTGATTGTTGTAGCCGGGGAGTCGGCTTGAGCTGATGGCTCGGCTTGTGATGAGTCGGGAAAATCCAAGGCAGCTTTAATAGCCGCGGCTTGGATATCCTTAGGAGCCGTGCTAGATGGCTTGGGAAGTTGATGGGCTAACTCGGGGAAGTTTAAGTATGCATTATGACCCTTGATGGCTAGGGCTGCCACGTCATGGGCTCGAGCAGCCATATCAGCCGTGGCGAAGGTCCCTAGCCATATCCTTGATTTTTTCTTAGGCTCGCGGATTTCTGATACCCATTTACCCCAATTCCTCATCCTTACACCCCTATACGTAGGGTGTTTTCCTTCAAAATTTTCGGTACACTTCTTTTTTCGACCCTCATTACTAATTTTCTCATTCGGCCTTTTTGTACGAGTTTTTGTGGCGACGGAGGTGGTGGAGGAGGAGGTAGAGGGAGAGGTGGTTTGGAGATCACAACATGAAGTGATCATGGATGGTTCTTCCATATGAATGCCTCAAATATAAGGTTTTAGATCTTATGTGAATATATATGTGAGTTATGTGACTAATAACTAAACATAAGTAATATAGTAGCTTCTCGAGGAATAAAGAGTAGATGGGGTATATTTATAGGAAGAAGAGCCAAAAGACAAAAGTGGTAGAACTAGTATTGACCTAATTCGGCTCTTTCCTAGCTTTGCCCCATCTCCCACTCTCTTTTTTACCCTTTTTCTTGTGTGTTTATAAAGGGACCCATCTTGATTTGTATAACTTAAATTAACGTAAAAAATTTATATGGCATTGACATTATTTTTAACAGGTTCCTTGTTAGTTGGTCTTAGTCCTTTGTTCTATTTAATAATCAATCTAGATCTCATTCATAAAGCATATAGTATTAATTTATATTGTTATATGATTTTGCTAACCTCGTGCGATTAAATGATTAATTATTCTAATAATTAGATAGTTAAGTCTTATTATTAAGCCATTTACTTGGTTGTTAACATCTTCTTTCAAAAAAAAAACATCTTAATATCAATCTTACATTTTATGATTACTATCATATATAAACCTTGCGAATGAAATACTAATTTTTTCTCTTTAAAATTAAAAAAATTAAAAGATGTTGTAGTGGAATCTTAAAAGCGAGAAAAAAAAGTAATATTATAATAATCATATTGTTTGTGATTACGTGGAGGCCGCCTATTGATCACCTATGTTCGTTGATGATAATCATTTACTAATCGTAGCAATAGTTACTATGGAGTACCTTGTCCTACAAGGCTATGTGTTGTCAAAAGCAATAAAATGTACACTCGTTTGTGATTAGAAAAGGAGGAGAAATAAAAAAGAACAAAAAAAAAAAAAAAAAAAAAAAGAAAAAAAAAGTAATTCTAGCATAGCAATGATTAATTTGCTTTCGCTATTTAATTAGCTTTTATGTTTTGGCTTTCGTCAAAATATATATGAACATAATCATTTGTAAGACAACCAGATTAACTGCGACAAGCACTGAAGCACATAGATAGGAGCTTACTACTCTATCAAATAATTTAAGAGCATGAGGCTAAGATGAAAAAATTCTTGTTGCCACAATATTTCTTAGAAATGTGCAATATAACGTGTGCAAATCCTATACATACTCGTCATAAAAAATAAATATTTTAAGAGCATAAGGCTAGGACGAAAATGAGTAGTGTCGTGTACCATAAGATAACATGAACATAATAAATATCAGACCGTGTATTGCTAATACACCTAATAAGTATAGTACGATGATAATCAATAACTATTGTATAATAAAAATTGTAATAACTAGTTAGTTATAGTATTTTTATAATCAATGAAAGATCATAATATCTAGTTTGTTATAGATACTATATTACTATGACAAATGTAACGTACAATATTCTTATATATGGTAGGTGTATTTATCAAATTTTGAAAAAGACGTGTTTCGGGGTTTTCTGATGTCCTGCGGGAGAGTTACAACACCGAGACTGGAACCGGACGCTTGTACCTGCAAAACAAACGAAGACTCCTTGTGGTAGGAGCTCCGCCTCCAACGGTCAAGTTAGTACCTGATTAAGGAGTAATAAGTGCGGAAATAAAGATGATTAGGTCCCTCTAGGTGAGAGTGTTTAATGTGAGTAATCTCTGTTATTCGAGTTCTCTTTCGTATCTCCCTCTCTTAATGAGGATTAAGAGAGGTATTTATAGCCTCGAGAAGCGTGCCAGTCTTAGGTTTAGGGTAAACCTAGGGCTGACTGGGCCTCATAACAGGATTGGGCCTTGGTGGCCGGGTTTTCCCATTTGGCATGGGTGGACACGTGGCGTGTCTCAACTGGTCCGTAGAGGACATATCTGTGACTGACACGTGGCAGGCTCCTATTGGCCCACATGGAGGACACATGGCGGAACCTGGTTGGTCCACTTGTCAGACGGCGATTGGTGGATAAAAATCCCCTAATCATTTGCCCCTCACAGGTGGCACGTGACCGGTCACGTGTTACCTGTGACAGGTGTCGCATGGAGACAGGCGACGGCCTGCTACAGGTGTCACCTTGCAGATGGCCGAGAGATTTTCCCGCCCAAACTTTGAATTTTGGAAGCGACCCTTCGCCTCCTCACTTGCCTATATAAGGAAGTGCTGACTTTGGTCATTTTCACATTTGAGAACTTTGCGAGAACATTCGGACCCCTGAACTTGCTCTGACACTTTGGACTCTTATTGCCTACCGCCTGCTCTGACAAGCCGTTTGCAAAGGATTTCAGAATTTCTTCAATCAACACTCGTTCAGGTAACCGTCGGTTCTCTTACTCTTAATTTTCTTGTTTTTTTTTTTTTTTTTTTTTAAAAATTTCTTTTTGAAATGGAACCCTGGAAGCACACGACACGACCTAAGTTAGTGATCAGCCGGTCACCGGGGACGGCTGAATCTAGGACTAGGAGTGCCGCCTGTCCTTTTCCGGACCCATCTTCGCCATTTATACATAGTCCGACCGTATCTGTGTCTATGCAGAACGTGATGGCTCGGACAAAAAAGACTGCCAGGATATCAAACTCTGACGGCTCTTCTCAAAGGGTGCCAATAAGTGAAACATCTGACCAGGCGCCAGATGTAGAGGTGAAGCAAGGCGGCTGCCAAGACGACAGTTCGGAGGGGAGGGCCAAGGTGGTCCCTTCCCATCTCACCGTTGACACGCCTAACTTTTCTTCTCCTCCTTCTAAGGGAGAAGAGGCGGGCCCCTCTGGGAGAGGGGAGGAGTCGTCCTCTTCGGACTCGTCAGAGGACGAGTCCGACTCCCGTTCTTCTGGTCACGCTTCTCCAGGCTCAGAAGAAATGAACAGCCGCCTACAAGAGGCGAGACTTTCTCACGCAGCTGAGAAGGGGAGCGATTGGGCCGAGCCGTCCGCCTCTTACAGAGAGGAGAACACCCCCTACTACTGCATGGTTCCCCGGGGCCGGATCACAGTTATGAAAGACAAAGTGGAGAGTTTTATAGCTAACCACAAAATGGGCCCTGGGTTTTTACTGTTTGTGCCGGATCCAGAAGATACTGTCGTCTGGCCGGCTGGTACCAGCTACGATGACGGCTGCTTTGGCTGCTATGCGGCGGCCATCAAAGCTGGACTGCGCTTCCCATTACATCCGACTGTTCAGCGGATTTTAGATGGGTACGATTTGGGGTTATGGCAGTTAGCCCCCAACTCTTGGGTAAACGTACTCGGCTATGTGGCCGGGTGCGAAATGTACGGGGTGGAGCCAAGCTTTGAGGCTTTCGCCCACATGAACTATCTCAGCCGGACCCCAAAGTCGGGCGGTACCGGCTGGTATCAAATAACAAGCCATAGGGGCTACCTCATGACGAGAGGTAAGGCAAACAAGTGGAAGGATTGGCGGAACACCTTCCTGATCATCGAGAGTTCAGACAAGGAGCTGAACAAAAGGTTCAATAAGTGGAATAGGGATCCGCCTCTTCTTGCAGGCGGCCGCAGCATGCCGCCTGTTCCCCCAAAGGCTAAAAAAGAGATCCTAGACAAAGGACTCTTCAAAGTAGAGACTAGGGTGAACTCTACTTCAGGGGTACGAGAGCAAGTACCCCTAAACTGCGTCCCAAGCTTCAAGTGGCTCTATGACGAGTACTTTTTGGCCGCCTGTGGCCTTAGCAGTCGGTGCTCTAGAGGTAGCCGGCCTGACAAATACTTTGCTTTTTACACCTTGCTTAGGACTTTTACTAACTTTACTGTTTATTTTTTGCAGCTGACGCCATGAGTAAGATAACAGCATCTAAGACTGCGGCGGCCATGTTGCGGGCCTCTGTAATGCAGCAGTCCTATACCGACTCCCCCAACAAGGGGGCACCCTTGGTGAGTTTTGAACCTTTCTCTTGTTGGAGTTGTAGTTGATACATATGCTAACACTTTTTCTTTCTGTTTAGTCGGGCACTCCAAGAGCTTCGTCCTCGCAACAGCCGGACCCCAAGGCCCGGAGGACGACTGTTGCAAGCTCTCCTGGGTCTTCCAGGAAAACAGTGGCGGCTGAGAAGCAGCCGGCCACTTCTTCAAAATCTCCGGCGAGGCCGCCTAGAAGTATGGACAATTTCCTTGTAAAAGCTCTTACCCTTCTTTCTTGACTAGGTCTAATTTGTTTATTTTTATACTTGATGCAGCCGGCCCTCAGGAGCCTGACTTGGTAGAGATTGTCAAGTCTATGATTAAAGCAGTTCCTCCATCTGAAAGGGAGGCGGTCAGGGGTGTCGGCACCCTTGACCTTGATGGGATTGCAGGGGTCCTAGCTGAGGTATACTTGGTATTTTTGAGTTTTTTGTATTTCATGGACGCCTGTTATCTTGTTTGGAAACTGACGCCTGTTTTTTCTTTACTTAGGCCCTGCTCCGAGTGAACGGCCTTCGCAAGCCGCTTGATCGGAAAAACAAAGAGGTAAAGGCTGCAAAGGCTATGGCCGCCTCTAACTGTGATAAGGCAATGTTTCAAATTGCCCAAAATGAAGTTCTGACAATTGATATTCTTTACTATCAGGCGCAGGCTGCCGCCGCTCTCAAGGCTGAGTTAGAGGCGGCCCAGAAGAAGAACAGCGAGCTGGAGGCGACCGTCTCCAATCTCAAGGCCGAGCTTAAACCTCTCCGCCAGAAGATGCTGTCATACGAAGCCATGGAGAAATCCTTGGCTAACGTAAAGGAACGCCTGGTGACCCAGGAGAAGAGTCTAACTGAAGAGCTCTCGGAGAAGGCCGAGCAAGAGAAAAGAGAGCTCGTCCGAGAGATGATGGAGGACTCTTCCCAGATCCAGCGCATGACCTGGAGCCGCCTCTTCCCCAGTGCCGACTTTGCCTCGTGGGAGAAAACATACCGCCAGTGCTCTGAAACATATAATCAAGAGATCCTGGCGGCTGCTGAGGACGAGGCATTGGAGGAGGCCTTGGACGGGGATGAGCAACCGATAGTGGCGCTCGTGCCACTTGGGGACAAGGCATCGAAGAAGGATGCAGCTAAGGCCGAGTCTAGCAAGAGGAAGGCTGACCAGGCGGACGCTGCTAATGCTGAAGACTTGCCCCATTAAGCTTTTTTGTATTTTTCCACGGCCTGCGTG